AACAAAAACCAGGGCCATCATGCCATCCTTAGGGCTTCTCACTGTGCCTGAAACATTAGGAACCAACATAGTACTGATAAACTAATGACTATTTTGATCATAATGTAAAAAGTGTCAATAATTCACAAACCCAGAATCATACTAAACCCAGTCCAGTTAGTTTTCAATGAGAATATTTGGTCTGCTTTGCCCAAACTTGGTTTTGCACCAAAACAGATGTATCTTTTGTTCATCCAGGTTTCAGCTGAGTTCGGGATGTTGTGCTGGAGTATTTCACATGGCCATTTTTGATCATAATGTAAAAAGTGTCAAGAATTCACAAACCCAGAATCATACTAAACCCAGTCCTGTTAGTTTTCAATGAAAATATTTGGTCTGCTTGCCCAAACTTGGTTTTGCACCGAAACAGATACATCTTTTGTTCATCCAGGTTTCAGCTGAGTTCAGGATGTTGTGCTGGAGTATTTCACATGGCCATTCACAGCTTCTTCTCTTCCCACGTCCCCTGTTAAAGTATTTACAAACAACTGTAGCCGATAGTGAATATAAGCATTGGAAATGCTGGCAAACATTGTGGATAGTAAGTAGTCTTTGTAACCTAACATTCAGATCGCTCAGCAAATTTGAACGGCACTATGCAGAATCACTTACAGAAATTGCCAGTTTAAGGACTTACTTTGTCTCCAAAACTCATTTCTCAGAACATCACTCCTGGAATTTCTATAAAGTATACTATACATATAATGTTTATTTGATTTGCAGGAATGGCTCACGGGTAGCAGCAGATGGGGCTCTGAACATACATGCAACCGGGCAACCCTTACAAGTGAGACTGATGAGAACCTGACCGCTTTTCTCCTGCCTGCTATCTTCTCCCCTGGCTCTCTTTGGACTCCCAAGCGTTGGAATTTCTTGCTATTGCTTTCAATTTGTTAGTGGATCCCTTTGCGCTGTAACCCCTCTAGGTTGATTGTTAAACTTTAATTCCAGCAGAATGGTAATACTTTCTCCTCTCTGATTTCTCGAGTAATTTTTCCTGAGATTCAAAAAAAACCATATACAATTCCCCACACTTTCCAAGAAATGCTTCAGTGGGAACACTAATTGTAAGAGATTCTATTTCCTCAAAGTCACCCGATCCTGATAGTTTTGGAGTCTTAATGGAATCTTCACGAAATCAAAGGCTCTTCAGTGTCAACATCCCCAGCTGAAGACCCCCGGGAAGGCACCTGTAGTGAACCAAGTTGTACTTATGACTTGTTGCAGTGAGGAAGAACACACCATGGGGAACCATGGCGGTCACAGTAAGAAGGTGCTCAGAAGGAAGTTATAGGATTTGGGCTTTGGTTGGTGACAAAGGGGATTTGCTCTTGATTAGATGCTGTCAGAAAGCTGGGACAACACTATGATTGGGCATCTTAATAAATCTTATCTATAGGGAGAGAAGTGTAGGAGGAGAATAAAGCTGGAATAGTAACGAGGTAGTAATCACCCATTTCGGCCAAGATAAGGGTTGTTTGGTATTTTATGGCTGGCAGAGTGATTTTGTTTTTGTCTGTGCTTAGGCAAACTTGCGGAGTGCTCCATTTTGTCTTATTTTTTTTAAAGACTAGTTTATTTATTTTTAGAGCTAGAGGAAGGGAGAGAGAAACACCGACGTGCGACTGCATATCGATCTGCATGTTTTCAGAATGGCCTTGTTTGAACTTGGTATTTCATGGAATTATTTCCATCTGATAGGAGAATAACATGGCTTAGCTGTGAGTGCCAGGGCAGCTTCTGAATATCAGAAGCTTCTCTTTTTGGTTTTTTTCTACTTATTAGCCTCTCCCATTTTTTGTGCAGCCTTAGGCAAGTTACTTTACCATTCTGTGCTGATTTCCTACATCCAAGTGGAAATGACTCTACTTAGCTAAAGTAGTGGGAATGAAGTCCCCTAAACAGTAGAGGATTCAGTAAGTTATCACTTTTTAAAAAAATATATTTTATTGATTTTTTACAGAGAGGAAGGGAGAGAGATAGAGAGTTAGAAACATCGATGAGAGAGAAACATCGATCAGCTGCCTCCTGCACATCTCCCACTGGGGATGTGCCTGCAACCCAGGTACATGCCCTCGACCGGAATCGAACCTGGGACCCCTCAGTCCGCAGGCCGACGCTCTATCCACCAAGCCAAACCGGTTTCGGCTATCACTTTTTAATTGCAAGAATTTGTCCATCAGTCATCCCTAGGCTGGATTGTGAGTGCCTTGAGGCCAGGGACTAAGAGTGGTACACCTGGATACTGTTAAAATCAACCTCAAATGGAGACCAGACTGGAAAATTCCCTGAGCAGACAAAACCAGTCTAGTCATACAAGAAAAGCTAATTTAGCTTATTTTGCAAGGCAAATGAGGCTAACTTGACCTGATTCACTCTTTGCTTACGCCTCTGAAAATCATGAGCAAAACTTAAATTGTTCCCCAAAATTGAGGAGGTAGCCACTAAGCAATTCTCTTTCATTTAAGAAAATTTTAATTGTGACCAATCACTGTGACAAATAAGCAATTGCTGCCTCCACACTATGTAGACTAATTTATAACAATGCTAGAGGCCTGGTGCACGGATTCACGTACCGGTGGGGTCCCTGGCCCTGGCCTGCACCCTCTCGAAATCTGGGACCCCTCAGGTGATGTCAGGCTGCCAGTTTCGGCCCAATTCCTGCAGGCCAGACCGAGGGACCCCACGGGTGCACTGGGCCTCTAGCATGCATATAAGATCTTTCCTTAATCTCTTCCTGCCCTCCCCCCTTCCCTCTGAGATTCATCCGTCTGTCCCATGTTTCCATGCCTGTGCATTGAGCATCTGCCCCTGGTGGTCAGTGTGTGTCATAGCTACCAGTCAAAGGGTTTTATATATATAGACACCTCTGAATCTGTATTTGAGCGATTCATTGGTTTTAATGAACTTGTGACAACTTTGATGTGTATGGGGGCGTTTTCGCAGGACTGGGACACTCCAAAGTTTCTCCAGGCTTGAAAACTGTCTTTTTGGTGGGTGCATAATAAACTTTTATTGATTATTGCTTAAGCGATTCGTTCGTTTTACTCGTGTTTTCAATGAACTTTGACAATACTTAAGCAATGTTTGTTGAATCCTGATCCAAACTTTCTCATCTGCCTGCCTTTTCTCATTGTTCTCTCATCCTGTCTACCCTTCCCCCTTGCCCACCTGTCTAAAGCCTAACCCCAAAGGATGACCAGTCGTTGGGGCACTTTCTTTGTACCATTCTGATGGTGCTTATTACAGTGTTTTGTGTACTAAAGGAATATAGTGTGTGTGTGTTTTAGGACATAATAACTACTCAGTAATGTTAACTATTATAATGATGTTATAGCTTTCGTATTTTTGTAAGTTCCTTTAGGACAGAACTCTATTTTACTTTACTTTTTGTTTCACTTTACAGTGTTTGCAAAGCACAGAGGCAAAGTGCTGAGGGGTTCTTAGAGCTGGGGGGCTCTGCAGAAACGCCATGGAGACAGAGAGGAGCTGACTCAACCCATCACCCACACAGCGGGAGCCAGCGAAGGCCCCATCTCACAACTTTCCATTCATTGCTCAAGCGAGAGCCTGTCGGCTAAGTGTAAATGAAACGAGGAGGCTTTGGCTAGATAGAAAATATAAAGATTTATTCAAGGTTTCAACCAGCAATACACCTGGGCGGGAGAAAACAGAAAAGCTGAGGGTTCTTACAGTAAAAAGTACATTTTTGAGAAGAATCAGCCCTGCTTTCTTAGCCTCTGGCTTGGTTCCAGAGGGTGACCCTCGAGCCTTCTTTCTTTTGCTCTCCAGGGAGTCATCAGACGTGTACCTGTGAGTCTGATGTGTATGCAGGCGTTTTCGCAGGACTGGGAAGCTCCAAAGTTTCCGTTTGCAGGCCAGTTAAAAACAACAGAATCCTTTCCCCATAACGCAGCCTACTTGATTTTAGTAGTTTAGCAGCTTGACTCTAGAGTCTAGGCGCTCCATTTTATTTCTTCAAGCCAAACTCTCCGACAACAACGGATGCAGGGATGAGGCGGGCGCGCAGGCGGAACCTTAGTCCTTACCTCTGTTTCCCGCGACGCCGCCCCTATGGCTACACTACCAAACGGAAGGCCTCCTTCCCCTACCCGCACTGGCCTATTCTGAGTAGGTTCTGGAGTTTGCGACTAACTTCAGCTAAATGACTAAGGACAGTTTTCTCAAGCGGCATCTCCCCAGCGCGGTCCTGCGAGCCCCCCAAAGTGGGCGGCGCCGAGCCTGGAGCCACGCACATGACCCCCAGCGGCGCCGAGCGTAGCCGGGCGCGTGCTCGTGCGCGTGCTCAGCGTGCACGCCG